CACAGCTTGGTGTCGTCGGCAAATGAATGAGTTGGGAAGGTAAGGAAAGGTAGAGAGGATTCATTTGGCATTTGGGTTCACCCTGAATCACTGTGCAAAATCCCTTTGCTAGCTGTCTCGGTAAGTGGATGAAACACGAGGGTACACGGAAAGAGGGAGACAGAGGTATGAGTGGACAGAGTGGCAGATGTTTAGAAGAGATGATGGCTTCATGCCCTCTGCTGCTGCTTTTTGTGAACTGGATTTATAGTGAATATATATTTAAGGTGGTGAAAACTTGAAACAAGACCCGGGTGAATTTGCCGTCCTAATGCAGGTAACAGCTCCCTCATGTTCCAGTCGACAGCGCTCTGACCGGTTAGCTCATTTAGGCTTTAACTAACCAGGTTGGTTGCCCCCACCCTGGCCCTTAGGTCTGCGTGCAGATGTTTCACACACAGGACAGTAGGTAGTTGGCAGTCGCCAGTGGAGGTTTTCCCTGAAAAGATGTATCTTGGGCCACTTTTTGAATGTGGTACTGAAGGGGGTGTTGTGCAGACGACTTCCTTTAGCAGCCTGGCCAGGCAACCTCCTACAATTTACAGGATGAGTTAGCAGAAGACTTATTTGTCTACAGGCAGACAGAAAGGGGCCAGGATCTCTGCAAGAACCCAGCGGACAGAATCAGGCTGAAACACGCCAGTCTTCAGGGGATGAGACGCGCGTGTCACAGGCAGAGACCCGTCAACGCAGAGTCCCACCACAGCAGAAAACCTTGGCAGTGTCAGGCACTTGCTTCCTGAGATGAGCCCAGATGGTCCCCATATGCAACCCTCACCCTCTGTTTTAAAGGGAGACAAATAGTATTGCACTCTCGGCTTTTTGCCCAGCAAAGGTAGGAGAATAATTAAAAAAGTAACTCAAAGAATCCGCAGGATTTGCACGCTGTCCTCTACACATGTAGGCTTTATCGGAGATGCTTGCTGGTGGTTTGCTGGAGTCGATCTCAAACCCCTAAATGTCCCGCCGTAAACCACTTCTCTTTCCATGCACTCACTGCTAATTATGCATAGTTACAGTATCTCAGTGAGCAATTATTACAAAATCCCGATCACGTGGATGTAGCCCGCTCTCCCCTCACAGCAAATACGGGGTCCAGCCCAACTTCTCACCAGCCCGTCACAGCCCCGACTTCCGAGCTGCAAAAGACTCTTCTCCCAACGCTTGATGATGTTCAGTTTGGTGTACTTTCAGCAGAAAACCGAAACGTTTAACCTGCTGACCGCAAGTGCCACCCCAACAACTTACTGGTGTGTCCCGAGACGAGAATGTAGCGTCACGCTTGTACCCGGCAGACGCGGGGGTGGCTGACAATGACAGGCGTTGCGGCGGTGAGTGCCCACACTTCTCCTTCTTCCCAAGAAATTAAAGTGTCTGGCAAACCCTGTTTGCCCACAGTTCCTCTGGGACCCCGACCTGCTTCCTCACACCTCCTGAGCCTACACAGCAAACCGCACAATTCCCGTTGGTCTGATTCCCTGCCGCCGTCTGTCCCAGAGCGCTGTTTCCAGCTGTTCGCACTCTCCGGGTCGCTCTCAGACTGACCTCAGCAGTATGACAAGGGTTTTGGAGGAGGGTGGAGCTAAGGACAGGACGGAAAGGTGGTAAATAAAAGGGAACCAAAGGTGTCCGTGATGCTGAGTAGTGTCCTGTGCCCTGGGAATTCCTGTGGAAGAGTGCCATGGCCTGCGAGGATTGTATGGATCAGTGGAAGGGGGTTGTGTGATGTGGGCTGTGACGTGTGGCTCTTTGTCCTCTCTTGGCACAAGGGTTTTCGTGTTACACATACAAGTGCAGTAGAGGAAAACAGCCAATCTACAAAACCTGACTGTGGTTCACCGAGTTTTTTGCCAGTTACAGGTCAAAATAATTTTAATTTTTCCTCTCTGGCTGAAAAAGTGGGATTTTTTTTCCCCTTGTTCCTACCTATTCCAGCTAAAGGTTGAATCTGTAGTCACAGTTTGTCTCTTTTTTTCTCTGAAAGGTTACACTGGACTAGCAGAAGCGATTGAAAACTGGGACTTCAGCAAACTGGAGAAACTGGAATTGCACCGACAGCTGTTGAAGCGGATAGAAGCAACAATGCTGGAAGTCGACCCGGTAGCGCTGATGCCTTACATAAACACGTGCCTGATAGAAAGGGAATGTGACGAGATCCTGCAGGTACGGCTAATCCCGCTGTTCGCCTCGTCCTGCCGGGGAGCAACTCACGGGGGGAATCGGTGCCCACGGTGGCGTGAGGAGAGGGTCCAGCCCCCGCGCCCTGCGGAGGGACTGCACTGTCCCCTGCGGAGGGGCGGCCTTGCCGTGTGGGTGCAGCTTCCCTGCACACCTTGTTCTTCACCCCTCCGGCTGCGGGGATGAGGGCTGGAGGCAGGGAAGCAGGATCACAGAATGTTTTAGGTTGGAAAAGAGCATTAAGGTCATCAAGTCCAACCATAAACACTGCCAAGCCCATCACTAACCCATGTCCCAAGCACCTCATCTACACACCCCTTGAACACCTCCAGGGACGGTGACTGCACCACCGCCCTGGGCAGCTCGTTGCAATTCTTGCCAGCCGTAGAGCCGTAGAATATTTTAGGTTGGAAATGACCATCAAGTCCAACCATTAACCAGATGAGGTGGCTTCGGCATTGGCAGTGCTCAGCTGTATGTCTGTGGTGACGTGGGTGCCTCGCTGTGCCCTTGGAACAGCCCCTTTTCTGGAGTGTTCACGCTGCATAAATGCTCCTGAAAACACAGACGGCACTAGGCAAAGTGTCATTTTGGTGTTGCCTAAACGGATTCCCAGTTGTCATGGGATTTGTCGTAGTTTATTACCTTAACGGTGGCAACCCTTAGACACTTCCTGTGGCTCTGCGAGTTTTGTCAGCACCCGAAGGGGCAGTCACAGGGTGAAATGAATCTTTTGGTCTGAGGTCATTAGCTAAATGCCACAGAAGTCAACAGGATTTTCATTGCCTTGGGCTGTGCGGCCGTTGTGCTGCTGCCCGGCTCCAGCTCGGTGTCGCCATCAATGCCTGGTAACGAGTGACGTTACCAACCACGCATCATCCCTGACTGGTTGCTAATAAGTGATTAATGCTCGTGAAGGAGTCTGTGTTCGCGCTCCTTGTGACGCCTGGGAAGGACTGTTTGCAGCTATTTTATTTTTAAAGCGGTATTTCTTTATGGAGACACATGACATTGGGAGAGCTATCGCATCTGACCGAACACCAGGCCCGCCAAAAATGTTGTACTTTGGCTTCGTCCTATTCCGAGATGGTTTTTAATCAGTTTGGCTTTAGAGGCTTGTGGCAGATATGGCTCATTATATATATTATGCCTTATTATATATATTCTAGCTCGTTTTATGTGTTACACCTCTGTATTATACCTTCTCAGACAAGAACTCACAGGATAGTTCTGCGATGTTTCAGACTATGTGAATGTTTGGGCAAATATCCTCCCTGTTGATGTAGTCCAGCTGAGTTCAGTCTGCGCCTAGGCTGGCAGGATTGCCTGGAAGGCTGAATTTTATCGGGAGCCTTTCATTCTGTGAGGAGGAAATGCAGTTTTCCACTCAGGGAGGTCAAAGCAGCCAGATGAGAATGCCAGTCAGGGAACGGTGGTTTTGGTGGCTCAGGAGCTACAGCAACTTGTGTTGGCTGCGTGCGCAGATCAGCGAGTACAGGAGCAAAGCAGCCGGGATAACGAGACTCATTGAAGGCCTCTGTCGCTCGGATAAGGAGAACTGGCCGAAAAGCCTTCAGCTGGCACTGGATAACGCCGGGTACTACAACGCGAGTGAACTGTGGAATATGAGAGAAGGTAAGCTGAGACTTGTTTTTCCGATGACCTTTTCCTCTTCTGGCACCAGGCAGTAATGTGATTTTTTTCAGGAGAGTAAGGCTAATTTAAAGCGATGCCAGCAGACCGCACCGCTCTCTGCTGTCAAAATACGGAACTCTTAAAAAAATAAAATGTTTGTTATATAAAATGAAGTACAGGTACTGCCCTACAAAATGTTAGCAATTATTTTTTAGTGTTTTTCCTCCCATGTGGTTATGAATGATGTAGTCTTTTGGCAGACGGGATTGGACATCTTACAAGGGTCTGAAGGGATCAACAACAGGTTTATCTTCCTCCCCCCCGAGGTAGTTCACATTTTGCCATCCTGTTGGTTGAGCTGCGATAGAAGTAATGTTTTCCGATAAAATACGGTGAGGAATTCGACATTCTAGAAATGATACATTTCTGTGATCCACAGAGCAGACCATGTAGTTTTTCTTTGAAAAATCAGTAAGCAACATTTACCAAGTAACTATGTTAGTTTTGTAAAAATACAGAATTTCCCCTAATAAGATTTTACTTTTGTCAAATTCACCTTTTTCCACTTAAAAAACACCTGTATGAGTACCCTGCAGCATGGGAGAATTTAGAGAGACATACAGTATTTCACTACCAAATAATTAAGGAAGACAAGCGATTTTAGATAAACTGGGTCGAGTTTCTTCATACCTGCATTTGCTTTCTCCCCAGCTGTAAGTGATTGTTTGAATTGTTTTTAATTAGCAACCGGGACAAGCTGTTTTTAAGTGGTTTCTTCAACAATATTTCTTGGTTTGAAATGTTTTCATTGCTGTAATCAAATGTGGAGATTTAATTATTACATCCATGTGTAGTTAAGCAGCTTATATATATACGTGTATATATATATATATATATACGATCTGGCTCACAGTTAATGCTGTAGGTTAGAGCTGTCACTGTCTTTTGGGGAGCTTCTGCTGACACCCACCTGAATAAAGCCCAAGTCGGGCTAGTGAAGACGTGTCCCTCCGTGGAGGCATTTTCACGCTGGCAGTTGAGAAGAGCTGCGAGTAGGGGTTAGTGACAGACACCGTGTGCCTTCTGGGGTGGCATTAGGGTGCAAATGCGCTTTCTCCCTCCAAAAGCAGCGTGTCCGGGTGCTGTTTGCCACGAGGCTCTTCATGAAAAGTCCGTGGCAGTTCTTCAAGAAGGTAATAATTATGGGGCAAAACAAAATCTTAGCAGGTATCTTTGGGGCCTCTCTTGATGATGGTGTAAGATGAAGGATGGAGATAGTCTTACAGGGCCTGGGTCCTGCCAAAAGGTGGGGGAAAGGGGGAACAAAGTCTGGCGTTTACCAAGATTCTCTGAAGTCCCGAGTGTTTTCATGCTTGTGGTTCATGTCCATGTTCAAGCTGTGACCTTGGCACTGTACACAGAGGATATAACCTTCCTCCCAGTCTATTTTCTCCCGTGACTTTTAGGGGATAGATAAATGAGCATTGAGTATGCGGGTCTTCTAAACCCAGGACTCCCAGTGCTATCCGTCGTACAGGAACGAGAGCCTGGGTGCAGCATCACTTCACGTCATCTTTCCGTGCAACCAACTCCCTCACCTTGTCATCCCCGCACGTACAACACTTCACAGTCAAAAGGATCAGCAACATGCCTTTTGTTTTTTTGGTGATTGTACAGACAACGGCAAAGATGTGGACGGTGAAATGACGGATGCCTCCGAGATCAGCTTTGAAACCACGATGGTATTTTCTGAAGAAGCAGAATATGACAATAATCTCAGTGAAAACCTCCGTGCAGCTTCAGGTAAGACTTGGCACTTAAACCAGTGTCTGGCTGGACCTCTCCATTTCCATAGACTCCCGAAGGAGATGGTGTGCAGACTCCAAGGACTCTATGGGCTTAGGTAGCAACTGCATGGGGCACAGTGCGTTTCACACATTATTGTTGCAGCACTTCACAAAAATGCGGTTCTCTCCTAGAAGGAACCTGTCAGTCTTCACTGGTGTACGAACCGAAGAAGGCTCGGAGCTACCAGATCGAACTTGCGCAGCCGGCTGTCAGTGGGAAAAACACGTTGATATGTGCCCCCACAGGTGAGAAAAAGCATGTTTCTTAGAAAAACGTTCTTGGTGGATAGGGCTGTGGAGGACAGGAAGGGTAAAGGTTAAGCCAAACTTTTCCAGCTCTTTATTTAAAAGCAGTGTTCCATCCAGGAGTAGATCCAGATCTAACCTGGAATTAATGGCCAAGGGCAGCACAGGGACTGGGCAAGACAGACGTGCCTCAGCAGCACTGAGGGAATTCCAGGGAATTCCTGCAGCGCTGGCATTCAGACTTCCATGCTCTGACCTCTGCTTTCTCACTCCCTGCTGCAGATTTCTGAGGTAAAATCACTCACCCATCTCTGCAGATCTTTAAGAAATTTGGCGTGCAGGTTGAATTAAAAATAGGAAGAGCTGCCTAGAGACTCCCGTATCTCCTGTACCGCGCTGCCTACGACACCCAAACAGCACAGGGGCCTTCGGCAGCAGCTCAGGACTGAGTTACGGAGGTGGAAGTGCAGCAGCCAGAGGGGTCAACCAGCTCTTTCTTTCTGCCTGTGTTGTGCACATTGCGGGCCTGATTCCCCCCCAGGCCGAGGAGAGACAGGTGGGGACATGGGAGAGCTGTGGGGTAGCGGAGGCAGGGACACAGGAGAGCTCTGAGCCCGAGTGCTGAAGGAAAATAACAGTGAAAGGAGCAAAGCTACATAGAATCACAGAATCATAGAATGGTTTGGGTTGGAAGGGACCTTGAAGCCCATCCAGTTCCAACCCCCCTGCCATGGGCAGGGACACCTTCCACTAGACCAGGTTGCTCCAAGCCTCATCCAGCCTGGCCTTGCACACTTCCAGGGATATGGATGGGGAAGGAAAGTGCCTGGTGCCCGTCCCATAGCCGGATTTGATGTCGGAGAGCACTCTAAGCGCAGAAACAGACTCAGTGGTTTCAGATCACCCATCAAAGCTGCAAACAGACTTCCCTTGCCAGTGACATGGTCTTTGCAGACCGAGGCTGCGAGGGACAAAGGGGTGGTGCCCACCTGAGCAAGCTGCAAGCCTGCGTCCAGATCCGTCCCCGGGAGTGTTACAGCCCCTTGCCAGCTCCCCGTTGTTACGGAGCATCCAGACGAGACAGGCTCCTGCTTACAAACACAAAATGCCCACTCATACCAGTGCTTTACCTTTCACATTCTTTGTTTAAAGGATCTGGAAAAACTTTCGTGGCGCTTCTGATCTGTGAACACCATTTCCAAAACGTGCCCGCAGGACAGAAGGCAAAAGTTGTCTTTCTTGCAACTAAAGTGCCGGTGTACGAGCAGCAGAAAACCGTATTCAAACACCATTTCGAAAGAAGCGGGTAGGTGTAATTCTACCTGGTGGCTTCCTCCACAGAAAATAAACTGGGCTGTAGGAAAAAAATGTGACGGGTTGAGTGGTGAGAAGCGTGCTCGGCGTTAACGCAAGGGTGGTGCTCGGTGGGAAGAACCGTTGGGGAGAGTCTAATGTCTGCATCAGGAGAGTTTAAGCACTGGTTGTGCAGCATCTGTGGAAACAGCCAAAGTAGACCTGTGCCTGCCTCTGGGTGTAGTGTGTTCTTCCTCGGGATGCCTTTCAGCCCTGCTTCCAAAGACAAGGCAGTTCCCGGCAGACACAGTGGGATTCCTCTTGCCGTTGTCAAGTGGCAGTCTCTCTTTCTTTTCCAAATGGAAGGACCCAAACCTCTTTGGTTTCTCAACCTCTAGTCAGAAAATGATGGTCCACCTCTCTGGTGGGACTGAAAATTGCTTAGGGGAATATCGACAACCTGTAGCTTCAGATTTTGGAGGGACTGGTTAGTGAGCATCCGTATACGAACCCCCAAGCTATGGGAAAAGGAGGCTGCCAGACATACACAGAACGGGGACGAAGGGCAGGATCTCCAGCTTATGTGCGAACAAACTGAAGCAGCTTAAACATATAAAACCGCCCTTCAAATCTAACGGGAGTTGAAAATCCAGGTGTTTACCCTCAGCAGTCTTTTTTCTCCGCTTCTGTGGGTCAAACTGCTGGCCCCGACAATTTGACATTTTGAATTTGGTCACTGCTCTTCAGCCTTGCTGAAAACTGTCCTAGATTTTTTTTTTCCCCGGCAAGACATCCTTTTTCATACCTGATCTTTCTGCCTCTTCTTCCTAGATATTCTGTTCAAGGGATTAGTGGTGAAACAGTTGGAAATGTCTCTGTAGAGAAGGTTATACAGGACAGTGACATCATCGTGCTGACGCCCCAGATTCTCGTGAACAGCATCGAGGAAGGGATCCTTAGCTCCCTCTCCATCTTCACTCTGATGATATTTGATGAGTGCCACAACACGACGGGCAACCATCCTTACAATGTGTTAATGACCAGATACCTCGAACAAAAATTTGACTCCTCTGCGAACCCCCTGCCCCAGGTAAGGCCCGGCCTGTCAGGGGTGGGACACTGGAGTGGTCTGCCGCACCGGCAGCAAAGCCCCAACTCCCGCTGTCTGTGTCAATCCAGTTCACACTCCCATTTAGCAACGGCTGCCAATTGAAACGGTAGCGCCTGGAAGACTTTTTTCCCTGCTCTCGGACACCTCCAGGCTGTTTTCCCATGCTGTACCTTCCCTCCAGCTGCCAAGGACTGGTCAGCTTGACAGCGACCAGCGTAGCTGAGAGCAAACGGGACTGCTGGGCCCAGAAGAAAGTACCCACCCCTGAAATCAGTAATCACCGCTCTCTCGCTGTCTTCTGCAGCAATAAAATGGGGATCTGAATAGGCTGGATCCGTG